AGGTAAAAATCTAAGGTTTTTTTTGCTTAGGTGGTTGGTTCGTTAGACACAGACAACGCTAAATGGAGTCTTTGGCGGCACAATTTTTTTTTTCAATATTCCGAAAAAAATTATAGTTCTCTGGGTAAAAATAGAACCGTGTCTCTAGAGTAAAAAAAATGAGCTGAACCTTAGAGAGTTGGGTGGGGGATCAAACCAACACGTTGTATGTTTGTTTTTTGCTGGTTTCATATTAGCTCAGTTCAAAAATTCAAAAACCAAAAACCAAAAACCAGTTCAAAAACCAAAAACAATGGTTTGATTGGTTTGACCTAATTGTTTTGAATAAATTTTTATTGAGTGCAGTCATTTCAATTTTTTCGGGTCAGGCCTTTTTTGTCCTGTGCTTTTTTTTCTAACAAATATCAGGCTTTTTTGCGTTTGTTCGTTAACTAACCGAAAATTTTGAAAAAAAGGTGCTTGCTGTCACTAATACACAAACTTACTTGTCCACAGTTGTTGCGAGAAAACTCAATTTTTACTGATTTTGAGCGTTCTGGTGGGAAGCTAATATTGTGTTTTGTTCAGCTACTTCAAAATCAAAATTTACTTTGAGAAATTTTAGATTTTGCTGGTGAAAACACGTTGACTTCTTTTTTTGAGGAGCAGAGTAATTAAAGATACCATTAAACCGGATTTCATCTCGGAGAAAATGCGACTTAAACTATAGCCACCGGGATTTTTCTGTAGACCAAGGTAAGTCCGTGAAGTTGGCTGTGCCAACTTTTTTTCGCGGCAAACCCTATTTACAGCCTGTTGATTAGGAGATTTTTTTTCTTATAATTGAACAGCTGTTTCTCAATTCACATCCCACTTAGCAGTAAAACTGATCTGTCGTGGTAAAACACGAGACCTTGAAAACAAGCTTGAATCTTAAGTTTTTTTGAAGTTTTGTTTTCAATGTTGAATGGATCAGAAAATTAGCAGTAAAATTTTTTGATCTAAACAAAGTCTGCTTTTGTTTGCATGCGTGCAATTGTACTATGTGCAGCGCTCCGAAAACGAGTCACAAATAGCTCGTTGCTTAATATATGCATATCTTCAAAAGCTTCTCAGAAACTTCTAATTAGAACGTCTATTATTGAGTATAATAACTTTCATCAAAATCGATGGAATTGTTTCACAGTTGAACGCTGCAAAGTGTTAGCAAAATAAACAATTGGAGCAAACAGTCTACGATGACTGGATTGAAAAAAAAAATTGTCTGATGGTTTTAGTTTGTACGTTTTGCGGATTATTGTTCCGACTTTCGATACGAAAGTAACGGTATATTTGTGCTCGGGGTTTTTTTTTTCTTCAGACAAATTTCGACTTTTTAACTAGCAATTTTTGACGGAATTTTTTTTATATCATTCGAAAGGTATTGTTATCCTGAGCTTAAATTTGAAAATATATTTCACCTGTGGTCATTTTTCGTAAAGTTATGAGGGTTTAAAGATTGCCATTTTGGCCATTTTGACCAACTTGGGACAATTAACGCGCGATATAACTCGCGCTATTAACGCTTAAGCGGAGATTAAATCCGTCTCATAAATCGTTCCAAATTGGTTGAACGAAGCTTTAGATGGCGTGTGGGGGATGATTTTCATAAAAAATTTCAAATTTTAGAAAAAAAAATTTCATTTTATTTTATTTCATTTAAGTTTTTTATGTTATTACTGCTGCTCCATAAACCTCAAAAGGCAGTCGGAACATTCAGGGCTTCGCCCTGATACGAGCAGTCTTGTTGCATTTAATGAGTGAACGCTGTTGTTACTTAGTTAGCTCTGCTCTCTCTACTATAATCACCTAATTTCATCCGGATTATTTAAAATGATTTTTTTTGTTTAATTCGAGATGTTTTTAGTATCAAATTTCGGAAGATTTGTTGACATTTGTGTTTTGGAAGAGCTTGAAAACCAATTTTTCAATCAATTTTGATAGAAATTTTTCCCGATCCAAGATTTGCATGTCACAACACTTCCCCTCATATATATTTTTAAATGTCTCAACATACTTATGTTTTTTCAAAACAATTCTACGGTTGCAACCACTGAAATTAAAGATGAACAAACCAGTCGAATAAAACCGATGTGAATTTTCATGATGTGCTTCCCTGGTACTTAAATTTTTCCTGTCACCAGAAAATTTCAATTAAAGCTTTGTGCAAAACTTGAAAAAATGCTTTTCAGGAAGATTTACATTCATATCAGAGGCGGACGCCCCCCTCCCTGATCAAGCAAACGATTCGCCTTCGATAATATGCTATGACATTCTATTGCGGTCAACCAACTCTAATTATTTTGCAAGCGCCAATATATACTGATCTTGAAGGGAAATGCGCCCAAAAAAACGCAATTTTTGGTCAAACTTTTACGGACGGAATTTTTGACCTATTTTTAAAAAATTTTGCGAAAAAAATTTTGTTTTTCGACTTGTTTTTCCAACAAATCTTGATAGTATTCTAAGAGTTCTGGGAAAATAAATTCGGTGGACCTAAAAAAAGGTTGAAAAAGTTTTGAAATTTCGAAAACAGTCCCCCTACCCCTACCCTCAAAAAAACTCCTAGATCCGCCCCTGATTCATTTTAATTTGTAACAGACAATCAGACAATGAAGCTCAATGCTAGTTTTCTAAGCGCTCATGCGAATTTTCTAATGCTATTCTCTATCCTCTTCTCACTCCATGGAAAAAATTGTCCTAATTTGAAACTTAGAAAAAAGTAAAATAGAGAACACCAAAATTGTTTTTTATCTAATTAGGGCACTAATTGTTGTAAATATAGGCAGATCTAGGGTTTTCTGGAGGGAGGCGGATTTTCAAAACTTTTGTCGTTCTTTTTTATGTCGACCAAATTGATTTTCTGATACCTCTCATACTTGATCGAAATAGGGCCTGTACGTTGAAAGAAAAAAGAGGGTCGAATCCGCGGCAGGGGTCGAATCCGCGACAAAAGGGCGCCCCCCCCCCCCCCCCCCCACCCAATCCGCCACTGGTTCTAAGAACCTTTTGTTGTCCTATCAGATTTTTTTCTTTTAGTTCTATTTGGTTTTTTGGATGTTCAGTAATTTAGACTTTATTCAAATGCAAAACTTTATTTCCTTGCCCCTTAGGGCAAATGCAATTATTTTGAATGAAAAAGGTGAACGTTTTTAATAATTCAAGCACTCATAGAAGTTCCACTTCAAAGCGCATCCGATTTACTCCAAAAAGCCCTTCTATTATACCCTCCGGTCATCAGCATCGCCACTGCCCACTTTTCCCCCCTGACCTGGAGTGACTTTCCAGACTCTGGCGTCTTGAAATCTTTCCTTTCATCATATATTCTTAGTCCCACCTGTATTTTGAGTCATTTTCCCTGCGGGAAAGATATATGATACCAGAAAATGCGAAGTGTATTTAAAAGGCTGCAATAGACGAGCCAACCACAATACCACTGTGTTGTATATTTTACGATGACATACAGTACTGTTTACTTATCAGCGGTGTTGTATCATATTTTCATTTGCATTTTCGTTCTCTCTATTTGCTAACTGGTGCTAAAAAGCAGATTGTCATTATATACTTTTCCAAATTCTGTTCAGGTAATAATTTCTGTTGATTTTCCCGGAAAAATATCAATCCGTTCAGGCGACTAGTCAGATGTTCAAAAATAGTTAATTTTTTAAATGGGCCAAATATCAAGTTGTCAGCCTGTTGGCCTTGGTTTGTTTGCCACTCTGCTTTTTTAATTTACAAACATCCGCAAAACCCCAAAAGACAACAAAAAATGTCAGCAGCGAGCGAGATTTATTATAAAACAGGCTGCTTTACTAATTTTATTCAAAGAGCAGGTATGATTAGGTTAAAAATGTTCGCACAACTAATTTTGTTTATATAAACCAGGGCCGATTTAAGGGGGTAAGGGGGTGGCGCTTTCCACTTTTTAGGGATTCGATCCCCTCACAGCCAAAGTTTCCACCTTTTGATATTATTTTACAAGATCCATTTTCAACAGTTAAATTTCCTTAAGGCGCCTGCGGCGCCAAGTTATACTCATTTTGAAGGAAAGCGCGAGCCGAAAAATTGTGATTTTTGGGCAAAGCCTTTTAGAAAATTTTAGATCTGCTTCTGATTTAAACTATATCATAATTATTATAACATCATAAGACCAAAAACGTATAAAACTCGAAAACTTTAAAATAAACGTCAGAAAAATGAAAAAGGCAAAATAACTTCATGGCGGTGACAACTCAAACAATTTTGGTCGTTTTAGTCTTTGGTTTCATTTTGCAAGTGCAAATTTTTGAACAATGAAATAGCATACCTTTTTTCTAGTTTTTCCCTGCATTTTTGTTTGAAATTAAAGACAATTAGGAAGCTCTTTGTTAAAGTTGAACTACAAAAAAATTTAAACGAGCTGGAAACATGTGCGTCAATAGAAGACGCTGCTATGATTTGTTCCATTTTCGACTACCAATAGAAAAACCCCTCCCCCTATTATAGTCCTGCCTGTCAAACAGGCTCAAATCTTGAGCCCGGGCCAATTTGTCGGGCTGGATCAATAATAGTACCTTCCTAATTCCGCATTGAATACTGAATATCTTTTCCACATTTCACCTCCCATGGATTCCGTCAAAAACGTCACGAGTTCAATAAATGGAACTAGAACCAGACACAGAGGGATTTTGCTAAAACAAAAACAACAATTTGTATCATTTTACGATACAAACAACAGAACAAATTTTTAAAAAATCAACAAAGCAAAACCGTTGCATTTTATACATTTTTCATTCACAAGAGCATCCCTCGTTCATTTAAAGTGTAAAAATGTCATCCTCTTTCACCATTTTTTAAATTCGTTTCTTCATTTTTAAGCTAATTTTTCGTTTCTCTATCCTGTTTTAAAGAATATTCATTTTAATCCCGCTGTTATTGTTGCATATCGTAATTGTAACTACCTTCTTTGTTAAATGTTTTTAAATCGCATCCTTCTGTTTCAGAACAAAAAAAACGAACGCAAAAACGGATGCTTTGTTATACCATATTTGGAGTCTAAAGACTTCCGTAATTGTTAATTATTACCAATATTAGCGACAATATTCCTTTTCATTTTCACCCATCATTTGAATTATTTGAGTTTGAAAAAACTTTTATTGTAATGCTACTTTCATTGTGTCACAACCATATTCGCAAGAAAAATCAGAAAAAAAATTATAACACTGACTCAAATAAACTCAAATAAACTAAATAACAAATTGTGACTGAAAACAGTAGTAAAAATACAGATTACAGTATGTTTATTTCCTGTCTTCATTAACAAAGATATATGGTCTCTGATTTACGACAAAACCTAATTTGTTCATTCTTAATAAAATGATTCCGACTTCATTGACTATCTCCTCTTGCGACGTTTCTTTCAACTCGCGTTCGACCCTCGACTTCAATCAGAACTGGCGATCCGTTGAATCAAAAAACTTTTCAATCTCAGATCTATGTTTACAAGTTAACAAGAGTTGTTTATTGTGCCAATTGGTTGCTTTTATGGGCCCCTCGCAGCATTAATTCCCATATACTGGACCTATTTTGTGTCTGATGGTCTTTTAACTGTATAAACATCGGTTTTACAATCTGTACCCGTCTCGATTTATACAATATGAACCTTAGGCAAAATAATCTGCCATTGTTTCCGTTACAATTTATGAAGTGCAGTTAATAGCTCAAAACTAACACCTGAATTCAAATTTTAAAAAGTTACCATCCACAGAGTTTGAACGTTTTATTTTCTGAGCGGAGCTAAAAATGGGTTCACTCACAATTTTTTATGTAATCAAGATTTTCATACTTTTGCATTTCAATAAATATATAAATTGCAAAAATTTATTTTTCTATTCCGAATCAATTATCGCCTCAATTTCCTGCGACAATTTCAAGCTCATTGCAATCGATGGCGGAATCTTATCGGATCAAAACTTCAAATCGTGCAGTAACGAAAACGACACTCAGCTAACTTCGTATTACCGAAACGCATTCTACCAATACTCGACGACCAATAGCATCCTAGCATCTATTTCGTCTAATGAAGAGTCTGATTTTGCTCTGAACCTCTTAGCCAATCAGAGCTCTGCAAGCGGTTCCGAGCAGATAACCGACGTTGCCTTGACCGACAGCTTTGTTTACCATATTTTCAAAGCTCAAAAGGTTTTGATAGAAGCAAGAAGCTTAGGACTGAGTTTGATGGAAAAGCTGAAGATTTCAGGTGTTTTAGAGTACAAAACAATAGGAAGTTTCTTTGACTACCCGTTCCTGTACCTTGTGATTTCAAAGAAGGTGCAGAGCTCTGGAATTACAAAACACCAGTCATCGCTCATCAGGTAAGCAACATACAAGATTGCTGTACTAAGTAAACATATTTTTTAGAGCTTCACCAATAATTCCTGCAGAACCAAACGGCTCCAGGCATCTAAACAAGTTTTTTTAGAAGAGGGCGGGGGTTCTAGATATTTGAAAAATTGCACAAAAACTTCCATTTTTTTATTGTCAAACTGATTATCTGAGATCTCCCAAAAACAAGAAAACCAAGGGCGGATTGAGAGGGGCGAATGCTCTCCACAGGTGTTCAAGTCCTGATCAACTAATTAGTCCCCATTATAAGGTCCCCGTTTAAATATAAATCATCAATTTTTTAAAACGTCTTGGACGCGAATATAGACTTAACTTGAAGTGGGAGCGCGCGGCAATATTTTTTTTATTCGTACTTCTCCAAAATTTGCCCAGCTGCCCTTTTATTCCGCGCAAGACGGTATGTACTCATAAATTGATGTTTGCCGCTCAGATTTATTGCTTGGTGCGTTTTTATTTGAAAAAAATCAGAAGTGTCGTATTCATCAAACTGTCGCCCCAAGAGTTTGAATGATTCAAAAAAGGGGAAAAGTCGACCATTTTTCAAAATCTGCAAAATCTACCCTCTAAAATCGAAAACAAGCTTCTGATACAGACCCTATTTAAGTTTTCGCGCCGCAGGCAATTTTTTTAAACTGGTTTCAAATAAATCTTGAGCGTTTTTTGGAAGGTTTTGACCAAAAATTCCTATTTCTTACGCGCTTTGCCGCCCCCCAAGTTTAGCGTATTATATTGGCGCCCATGGAGCCCCAAGAAGTTCTAGGATTGGTTGTCAAAAAATGCAGTAAAACAGTACCAATATGGAATTCTTTGGGTGGCTAGGGTCCCGAATCCCATATACAAAAATATACAATTAGTTTGATCACCATTTGAAACTTTATGGTTGAAACCGAGATGAATTCTGACAGTAATTCATCTTACCACACTGAGAGGGTAAGCCAATCAGTCACTTCTAAGCTTCCTTGATAGCTTTCAGCTAGCATACAGAAGGCTCTTTATGGAGTCGGTGAGCCAAAACTATTGCGTGGCAACTGCTTGGTTCTTACATATAGCATGTTTTAAGATTAGAATTCAATCAGAAGTTGGGTCATTTTTGGGGCTACTCTCTTGGAAAATTAAAAAAAAAAGAAATTGCGTCGAATCAGAAAATAAGGTACTATCTCAGAAAAAAAGGAACTTGACTTTTGGGAGTACTATCTCTTTGGCTCGATTTGATTTATCGCAACTTTACTATCGCCTTAATTTAAATTTTATCTCCGATAGAAAACAGGACTACTCTTATATCAGGGCAAAACTTTGAATAGTTCTTGATATTTTGGTAATAAACTTTTGAAAAAACTTTTAATTTGAACTTCAAATTTTGGACTTCCAATGTTAAATATAAACAGGACTGAAAGTTCCGACTGCCGCTTGATCCATATCGAATAGTTTTTGGGGAAAAATATTGAAAAACTATAAATTCTGGACAAAGATCAAGTGTAAATATTTGAGTCGTACGACATTAATACGACCGGTTAGCCAGCCTCATTTCAATTGGGAACAATTTTTTTAGTGCGGGATAATTCGCCACGCATAAATAATTCAAGTTACGCTTTCAGCGTTATGAATAAAATCTTTTAAGCACGCATAAACTAATCCACGCCACTTTCAATCTCCCATAAACGTGCTAAATATGATCAGACCTAAAATAACTTTTTAAAACTGATTTTAAGGAATCGATATCTTCAATGCGATCTAAAAAGTTTTGTTAAAAATTATTATTTGATTGCAGAAAATTGACCGAATAAAAAACCACTTAAAGCATGCATGTTCAGTTTTTTATTGAAAGTCAGAGTAAAGAATTCAATTTTTGAGGCAGTAGTGGAAATTATATGACCAATTAGTGTACCATCAAAAACCAGAGTTATAATGAGTGCGCGAGTTATAATGATTTATAATTCGGCACGCATAAATATTTTACTTTACACTTTCATCATCCTAGATAAAAACTCAAAAGCGCACAATCGTTGGTTCAGATCATTGCCGAATGGCGCAACCTTCAAACACCCAGACTTTAGGGAAAAGTGGTTGCACGTAGCATGTAAACGAGTCTAATACGTTTTGAATAGGGAGTAGACTTTCAAATTGAGTTATGAAAAGTAAATTTAAAACTATTAATTTGATCACCAAAACTGCTCTCAAAGAACAAGACTGACACAAGCATACATATTTGTTACTTTCTTTCAAAGTCTGAAAAAAAACTTAAAGGTTTGTTGTGCGGATTTGAATTTTAAAAAAATGTCAGTTTTTTCATCAAAAATGTTTTTGACGAAGCAAAGCCACTGAAAACTAGCCAATTTAAACCAACTATTTTTTCACAATACCAAGTACTGTGTTTCACAAACCAATTCACAATAGCGAGCATGTTGGAAAAAAACAGTACTACCAGTTAAAACATCTACTGCTTTTAGTCCGAAAAAAAAATTGACGGGTTTCTGTGATAGAAGCACAAAGAGGTCGTTGTAAGTTAATTTTGAGAAAAAAAACGAGAACAAGATTTTTATTTTTATTTTCAAATTTGTAAATTTCCTTTGCCGTGGAAAACTTTCAAAAATTACAAAATGATTACAAAAAGAAAATTTTTTTTCATAGTGTTATTTTGAAAAGACTGATTTTGGTCGGGGGAGTTTTAAATATAATTTTAAAGATAAATACCAAAAAATCACTTTGTCACAACTTAGTTCCGAGCCTTTTGTTTTACTTTTTTTCATTTTGATTGGAGTGAAGAGCCAGCTTCTCATATACGTTTTTTTACCCAGAAAATACCAATTTAAATTTTCAAATATTTGTTTAATCAGTATGAAAAACTTTCAAATAATGTATCCTTTAAAGCACATTATGAAATCTGATTTTGAACAGAATGAATTAGCGCAAAAAACAAACCTGAAATTTTTTTTTTAGAATTTAAAAGCTAAAATCCACAATTTGGCATCAAGATGCTAGAGTCGTTTCAAAGATTGAAACCATAAAAAACTATCATCCTATTGTATTAATCCATTTTTATTTTTAAAAATGTGGATGAGTTATGTTAAGGAAAAGATGTGGCACTCGATATGTTTTTTTTTCGTTAAAACAGTTTTGAGTTTTTAGCCGATTTGGACTAGCCGGTTACTGTGCAAAAAGCACAGAATGTTTCGACCATAGTCGTTAAAAAACTACAAAAAAAAACTTTTTTTTGTCAAATTAGGGATTTGTTTTCTGCGTGATGTGATAATTATATTTTAGGCAAATTTGAAACTCATCGTAATACAAGCAAGTTAGACACAAACTTGAAAAATTTTCGAAATCATTCTTCTCAATTTATTTTTAGAAAAATTTCCACATTCTTAAACTTTTTCATTTCCAAAATGTAGCTATAAAATTAATTTTACGTGATGAAAGTTATGTTTTTAAGCCTTTCATTTTGCCTAATTAAGCTGTTGTATGCCTGAATGCCTGATCGCTGGCTTTGTTTGCTCGAAAAAAAGTCGAAAAATCAAAAATTTCAAACCGATTTTTCTCGACACTGGGACAAATTTTTGAAATTGTATTGTTTTCGAATCACGCCTGTAAGGGCTTTAAAATAATATTTTATTCAACTCAGTCCGATCATTATTTGTTGTGGCACCTGATTTTTCGTGGAAAAAAAAGAAAAAAAAACTAACGCGGACCCGAAACCAAATTTCCTCCCCATTTTCAATGGTCGGAAAAATTAGCCCTTTTCCTGGTCATTTGAGAACTTTGTTGTTCTGATATTTTGGCCAAGTTAGTGGAGTTTGAAATTGGCTCAGTTGGATCATTTAAGTTAAGTAATTCTAGATATGTTTCACTGTTCCATTTTTAATTCAGGCAAGTTTTTGTTCTTTATAAAATGGTAAATCTTTTGTACTTTAAGTAGCGTGTGGGGGTTAAAATTTGAAAAAAAAAGACAAATACAACTAATTTGTGAAACTTTTACCAAATTTTACCAATTAAAATTTCTTTCATAGATGCTGGTATCAAAGACTAATGATTTTAGGATTCAGCATGATAACAGCAGCTTTATTGTCGATTGTATTGAAAAAACTTAAATTACCACATCTAATGGAGGCCCAATAAGGTTCTGGCAATAAGAATCTAAATCAGAACAGACTTTTGTCAAGTCTGCAGGAAAACATCCGGTAAGTTCGAACGACAAGCACCAAGTGGACAAAATTTACTAAAAGGGGCCGTTGTCGATTTTGTCATTTTTTTAGGTCAACCAAAATGATTTTTTGTGCTCTCCCAACTTTCTCTAAAAACTCTATTTCAACCAAATTTTCGACGCTGCAGACAAACTTCCCAAAAACAAAAAAGGCGTTCTTAGGCATTTTTTTGAAAAATTTTGACTAAAAATTGCATTTTTTCCTGCGCGCACTTTTCTCTCAAGTTTAGTATATTTGGGAGCCTTTGGAAAAATTTTAGAGTCAGTCAGACAAAAATGGATATCTCAAAATAGTAGAACGAGGGAACCATTTGGGACGGCAGAGGTCCGCCTCCCTAAATCCAAAAAATATGAACACATATTGAAAAATAGTCACTCTGTGATAAGTATGGCTTTCTTATTTATGGAATAACTTACAAAAAGGATCTTAATTTAGAAGAAAAATTTTAAAAACGTATGATACGAGCCGTCTTCTTTAATCGAAAGTTTGAATTAATAACCAAATACAGGATTGACAAAAACTTTTACTGTTTTCAATTTGTATCAGCGTGCTCTTTTCAAATATATAATTGAGAGTTTTAAATACCCAAACCAAAAAAGTAATTTAGACTTAGCGAGTCTACAAAGATTCCTCAAACTCACAGAAAGGCAGAACCCAATACAAATATCGGATATAAATCAAATGCCACGAAGTTCACTATTCGTCGTAAGTTAACTTAATTACAATTTTGTTTTTCAAAACAAGTTACTCCCTCAAAATTTTTCTTGTTTGATAAAAAAAAAAGAAACTCCTCATAGATTTTTTTGATTTTTATACTTTTGATATTGAACATTTGTATAAATTGCTCTCTAACTGATGCCCACTCTACTTTTCAATGATTTTTCTCTTTAAGCTCTCGAAGTGCCCACTCGATGAGATGCAATTCTCTTTGTGTCACCCTCCAATATTTGATAATAGTATGTATTTGCTGTAGTATGTATCTGGTGCAAACTGTGATCTAGATTACTGTAACGCATTGTATAACAAGATAACTGGTTACATTGCAAAAGGCATAGAAGGCGCCATAAAAAGTTTTACAAAAAATTTAAAGTAGAACAAAGTAATAACTTAATATGTTTTTTTTTGTGTGTGATATGGGACTAAAAGCTCTTATAAAAGCGAACAATGGTTGTATTTACTAATATTGTTCACTAATAGTTACTAATAGTAATCAGCCTAAAATGAGTCAGTTTGAAGAGTATTTTTTTTTTGTAGATTCCAGCCCTCAACGAACAATCCATTTGCAGATACAATCCACATGGAGCTAGAGTGTCAGCCAATCATTGGCCAGAATATCGATGACGTCATAATAACCGCGATCACTATGACTCCTTTACTCCGCAACTTCAACTACCTAGTCTCAAACACCGGACCCGGAACCCCTACCTTGTGCCAGCTATCTCTCAACGATGTAGATCAGTATTTGAATAAGAGCATCAAAAACTGCAGAAGTGGTTTAAACGATGAAGCAATAATATCCAGGCACTTATCGATAGGGTTCCAGGAACCCCCGAGCGTCAGCCGAAGATGCTCTTTTTACGACATGGGCAAACCATTGTACCTCCCAGCTCTCAAGCCAACTTTCAAATCCTCTATACCCTTTTCATTAATAGACTTAAAAAGCGCAAGTTTTCAAGAACGAGAAATCTTTGTCGGAATGAAACATGATTTTGAAATGGTAGCGTTTTTAACAAACCCGGTTTATCAAAAGCTATCATCTCAGCGACTGAGCAGCAAAACTACATTTTTAGTCGGAAACTTTCAAATAATAACAAGCTCAGGCTCCAGTGATGATATTTTAACATTTCCACTAATTGATTGCGCTTCGCTTCAAAACTGTTCATCATGTCTTGAAAAGGGCGCAAGCTTATGCGCCTGGTGTTTGCTCAAAGGCTCGTGTGAACTTTTATCGAAATGCCCAGATGATGATTTGCCTATTGAATCATCTCAAATCGCCAAAAACTATTCCGTACAAAATTGTCCTTTTGTAGAAAACTATATTCCGTCTACCATCGCTACAAGAAGCGCAAATTTGATAAACTTCGCTATTCAAAACTTACCCCATTCGGACGAGTTAGCTAGTCGCGGCGTTAGTTGCAACATTCCTAATAAGGAAATATTCGGGAAAACGGAAGTGTCAACCGTCTCGTACCAAATCAGTCGGCAAGGGGAGACTTCGGTTAAATGTATCATCTCGATACCAGAGTTAGCCGAGACGGAAATTGTTCCCGTCGAACTGGTGTACGGCGCTACGAATGTAGTTTTGACGGGGTTTGGAATTCCAATTGATAAATGCAGCCGCTACTCAGGTACCAGTTGCGCCCAATGTGTTCAGAACTCGGCGGGATGTCAGTGGTGCCCGAACACCGAGAAGTGCTCGGCTTTTTCAAACAAAACGAGTTTAACCGACTACTGTGCCTTAAGATCCCTGATCAATCCAAAACTTTGTCCAACAATTTTACAGGTCGAGTCACCCAAAACAGAGTTTGAAGTTGTCGAAGAAATTCGACTAGTAGTTCAGGCTAGTAATGCAATTGAAGAAATCCCAATTAACTGCCGGTTTCAGTTGCGGAATTGGGTTTTTGCCGTCCCGGCTACTCTGATTGGGCGAAAATCAATATACTGTGATCCAATTAAATTACGATTTGACGAAACGTCTATCAATGGAATCACGACATATAATGTAGATGTTCGGCAAAATATGAGTTTGCTGGAAAATCCAAATGAATTGAAGATTTCGATATACGACTGCACGCAAATGGCGACGACTTGTAGCAGTTGCGCTTCTTTATTTGCTCGTTATAAGTGTGCATGGTGTCAGGTCTCGTTGTCGTGTACGACCGCAACTTCGTGTTTACCGGACTGGACAACTTCGGACCAAACTCAATGCCGAGAACCGCCGATCATATCCGAGTTCGAACCTAGCTCTGGACCCGTCGCCGGCGGCACTGAGCTTCGGATCTTCGGGAAGAACTTTGGTTCCAATTCAGATTATATCAGAAACATAACTATTGGGCCAATAATTTGTGAGTTGAAAGCAGTTTATCTGATCAGTAATAACTTGGATTCAATTATTTGTTCAACTGGTGAGTCGAAACTGGTTTTTGCAGATCGCATTAATGTAGAAGTATTAAATGGAATGAGCGGAATTTCGAATGCAGTTTTTGAGTACAAAGAACCAATTGTTCAACATTTTCACCCTAAACTGGGTCCAAAAAGCGGAGGTACTTTGGTGCAAATTGTCGGTTTGAATTTAGACACAGGGACAAATCATTTTGTTAACTTCGAGACTACTCAAGTTCAAATCCACGAGCTCACTTCATATTTTGTTACTTTTTACACTCCGGCGTTAAGCACCAATGAATCGTGGGTGAACCTTCAAATTGATGGGGGAATTTATCATGTCGGAAAGTACCATTTTAGACCAGATCCGGTGATTACGAATTACCACCCAAACTTCTCAATAAGCGCAGGTGGAATTAACATAACTTTCGAAGGAAGAAACTTCAATTATATAACGCGAGCTAAAATCACAATTCATGTTCAGCGAATGCAATCATCAACTTGGTTCGTTTACGTCAACGAATGCTCTTCGATTGAAGAAACAAGAATAGTTTGTGCAACACCCACTATGGAAGAAATATTTCCTCATGTTAAAGTCAAAATTGGGTTAAAATTAGACGGATTTGAGTATTTAGAAAAATCAAAAGAGTTTTTCATCATTCCAACTCCGACATTCCAAACTTTTGATCAAGTTTACCTCATAAATGAAGACAGTGTGATCAAATTTCACGGCTTTAACTTAAGCTACAACCTTCAAAACTCGGATTTCAAAGTTTTTATGGATAAAGTGAAAGTTTGTTCGTCTATTCACGTGGACAGCACTGAAAACTTCATCGAGTGCCAAGTTAATATTGGTGAAAACTCGCCTCAAATTACAAACTCAAAACCACTTTTAGTTCAAATTCAACTAGGCTCAAATGTGTTATATAGTTTGGGCTACGTGAAACTAAATCAGGAATCAAGCGGCATTCCGACATTGGTGCTTTTTGGAGTTACAATATCAGGGCTGTGCTTCTTGGCGACAATTGCGATTATTTGGTACGGTTGCAAGATTTGCAGAGTACAGGAGCTCTATATTATAAAGTGAAACATGATACTGCTGCCTTTTTGAAAACTTGAAACCTAGAAAAAAAAAAAGAATTAACAAAACTTTGTCTCTTTGAAACGAGCAGCCATAATCGACAACTTATTATTTTCTGAAAATTAGTCATTTAGTTAAGCGTTTTGCTAATAAAACTTTGAAATGGTTCAGGGTTTTAACCAATGTGAGTAATGTGGATAGGAGAGGAACTATAAAAAAAACTAATCCGCAGGCAAATCTTAGCAATGATAAGTTAGGGCTTTTCCGAGCTATACCAAACGTTTTAAGACAACAGGCCAACAGCCATAGCCGCTTCAGAAAAATGTTAAGTTCCGTCACCAAAACTGGACACCTCAGAACAGTATAAAGGGGGCCCTTTGGGTCGGCAGCGGGTCCAATCCCTGAAGAAGGAGAAGCGTCGAACTTTCGTCTTTTCCGAATTTTAATTTGTTTTTCCGATCTTTTCGCAAACTAAAATTTTAACAGCGTTGAATTTGATGCTGAAAATAATGCTTTTAATTTGTTTTAGCTACAATAAAACTATTATTCTTTTAAGTTTGCCTATTTGGATCATCAATGAGCGCTGCTTGCAAGTATTCTCTAAACGTTTATCGCAAAAAACAAATTCAGCTGGCTTACTATTCATTCCAAATTTAATCAACTCAAACATAATAGTCCAAAAACCTCGTTTCTAAATAAGACTGCTTGTATCAGGGCAAATCCTTGAATGTTCCGACTGCCGATTACTTGGTCTCGAATGTTTTTTGGTTAATTGAGTTTTGACAAAACTATGAATTTTAGACTGATCATAATAAAACTTAAGCGTTACAATTTGTCATGTATGGATTTTTAAAAACCAATTAGCTGCCACAATTCAATTTGGAACAATTTTGGACTGCGGGATAATTCGCTATGCGTGTCACTTATATAATACGAGCACTTTTGAGACTCGTGGCATGTTAGGACTGTCAGGAGAATATATATTCCTCATTTTATGAAAGTCGGAACAAAACTGCTCGTATCAGGGCAAAGCCTTGAATGTTTCGACTGTCAATTGAAGTAAATGAAAAAAAATTGTTTATCATAAATTGGTAATTTCGCAAAAATTATATTTGATTTTTTTTTTCAAGTTTTTCTTCATTTTATACCTCACCCACCAAATTTAAGTACCAAAGTAATAAATTTTGAGTCTGTAACACATTGCTTGCCTCAAAACAATACAAATTAGAGCTTACGCTTTAATAAAAACAAAATATATTGCGCGTTTTCTAATCCAAAAAGGCAAAAAATGGAATATTTGAAATCCTTTTAACTTTACAAAAATGATAACAGGTAAAACATTATTTTGAATGTTCGCCCGAAACATCAGTACCGTTCAGATGATGTTGAAAACTCGTTAAAATGGCGTATTAAAAACCGAGTTTGGCCAGGAGAAAAAACCACTACGAGCTCGAATTTTTTCACATTTTTTCGAATTAAGGAAAAACAACACTTTGTGCTCGAAATTGTGAGGGAAAGTTTTTCAATAAAGGATTTACCAGAGTTTGATACGTTTTGAATTTATTTTTTTTGCAAGTAACCAAAATGACTACAAATTTCCCGAAGATGGAGTGTTTAACCCAGAATGTTACAATTTTTGCTGTTATATCCCATTACCAAATGCGAAATTTGACAGTTCAGCTTGACTATGGTTTTAGATTTCAAAGAAAGTGACGGAAATTTGTGCTCGCTGACTCCAGAAACTTTTTTTCGATTTTCCTGAATAATTTTTTTGAGGCCAACTTTTATACTAATTGAAAAAAAACTGATAGCCTGAACTCAAATTAAAAAAGGCCGTATTTCTGATTTATTTCTTGCAACTTCATGAGAGTTAAATAATTGCCAATTTGCTAAGTTGGGACACTTAAACCTCCA